CCTGTAATTATCAACCTTGTCAGGTGTGTATAGTCCACACTTTAGCCTTGAAACCTGTAATTATCAACCTTGTCAGGTGTGTATAGTTCACACTTTAGCCTTGAAACCTGTAATTATCAACCTTGTCAGGTGTGTATAGTCCACACTTTAGCTTTGAAACCTGTAATTATCAACCTTGTCAGGTGTGTATAGTTTACACTTTATCCTTGATCTTTCATATATTCATAATAATGTATAAATAAAGTTACTTAAAGCGTCTTTTATTACAAATCAGTATATTGCAATATTTCTTTTTATTTCTGATAGTTCATATACGTATTTTTGTTTTAGCAGTTATATCTATACCACTACTACAACAACAACAACCTTATGAGCAATTGTATCACTTGGAACTATTTAAAATATTTATTCAGTCCGTAGTCCTGAATCATTAACATCAATGTATCTCTGTAACAAAACTCAGTTTTACTGTATTACTGTATTAAAACTGTATTACTTTGCCAATCTCACCAGAAAAAGTTTCGTCTTTACGTATCCTTAGTTTGACGATCTGGTCACAAGCCTTCAGGATTTCATAAGCATCTTCCAGGGTACAGTTGTCCATCCTCACTGAATCTATGGCCAGCAGTTTGTCTCCTGGCTGAAGAGTTCCTGTTCGATGGGCCACACTTCCTTGCTTGATGTCCGAGATCAGCAGCGGTTCCCCTTGTTGGCGGTTCTTTGGAGCTTCAGAACGAACCAAGATAAACAGATCAGTACGACATAACTAATAAAAAATTAACCATTTTGTTAAATGTGAGGTTAAAATCTTCACTTAATGTCCGAGATCAGCAGCGGTTCCCCTTGTTGGCGGTTCTTTGGAGCTTCAGAACGAACCAAGATAAACAGATCAGTACGACATAACTAATAAAAATTAACCATTTTGTTAAATGTGAGGTTAAAATCTTCACTTCATTCAAAACTTAAAAATCAGACTTATTAGGCTTCTGTTAAAATATTTTTATCTTAATGTTATTTATCTTTTGTCAGCACTCCAAACATAAAATTAGAAGAAAACAAAATTTTTGTCTTTGTTCGCAGAAGATATCGTGAAAGACAGATAGTATTTCATTAATTATTATTATAATTTCCTAATAATTACTTATTTAAAAACAAATAATAATAAAGAATAAAACTGACGTTATTCAGATGGCGTTGTTAATGATTTTACAGATTCTCAGTTTTATCGTGAAACTACAACGATTTCTTACGTAAGGAACACAGAAAACAAATATTTCACGCTACAGTAAGATGGTTTTATCTCGCATCGATGCTTTTAAACAATAAAACTTCTCACATAAATTATTTTAACACACCTCTGATTGTTATACCCAATCCACCCTTCGATTTAGCTAATTTAACAGTAAACGTTCCACTACTTGGCACAACGGCTTCAGCCACATCAAACTGAATGTCGAGGGTTACCCTCGGGCGAGAACGCTGGAGTAACTGTGTCACTTCTTCCACAGTTAACCCTTGAGTAGACTGACCATTTACTGCCACCAGTCGGTCACCAACGTGAAGGATGCCGGTCCTAGAATAACGGAACACATGATAACTATTTTTATTTCTAATTATTTAGAGATTACCATTACTTTAGAATATTTCACTGCTTTCCTGAACGATTCTAACAAATGTTTATTACTTAGTTCGGAGGTACTAGAGACAGGAATCACTATAAATAATTATTTATGAAATTACGATTGTATCTGAATCATTACTTCTTTGTAATTACTACTACAAAGAAAAGGTAAGTAAGATCGACCTTACAGCCCCAAACGAGATATCTCCAAATGTTAATGTCATAATTAAACCCTAACTTTATTTAAGGATCTTGTCTCTTTTAAATTTTCATATTTCAACAGAAATATTTAAGAATTTGCAATCATAGTGTATCAGCGAGAAACTGTCTTAGGTTTTTTGGTCTACTGATAGAAGGTAAGTAGCTATTATGGGATGTATCTTTACATGAATCTTTACCTTATTTCTCTGTTTCATAATTAACACCATTTACTTCGTTGTTATTATTAGTTTCTATATAAAAATAGATCCTCGTCGAATAATATATGGATCACCTTTCAGCAGGACCACCAGGATCCACTCTGCCGATGACTGGAGAAGACATCAATTCTGTTGGAAAATCGCCTCCTTTCAGAGAAAAACCTAGCCCACGGAGATCGGCTTGAATAGTTACTTTAGTGGTGTCAGTGTAACTGAGTTGACCAGGAGGTGGCACCCATGTCGCTACGTAAATTCGATAAAACAGCAGGTTTCATAAAAAAATATAAAAATTCTTGAGTAAAAAAATGTGTACTTTAGATCACACACACACACACACATTTGGAGTAAATTTCTCAATTGCTTCACGTATAAAATGGATGATAAGAGACAGTGACTTAACACCCAACGAGAGAATACAACAACACAAAGTGTCAACAACTTCCTAACAACACAAAGTGTCAACAACTTCCTAATAACAGAAGGCGTCAACATTTTCCTGACGATGTAAGGCGTCAACAACTTCCTGACGATGTAAGGCGTCAAGAGTTTCCTAACAATGAAATATGTGAACAACTAACTAGCAATGTAAGGTGGGAACAGTTTCCTAACAATGAGATATGTGAACAACTAACTAACAATGTAAGGTGTCAACAGTTTCCTAACAATGTGATATGTGAGCAACTAACTAACAATGTAAGGGTGTCAACAGTTTCCTAACAATGGAATATGTGAACAACTAACTAACAACGTAAGGTGTCAACAGTTTCCTAACAATGTGATATGTGAACAACTAACTAACAATGTAAGGTGTCAAGAGTTTCCTAACAATGGAATATGTGAACAACTAACTAACAATGTAAAGTGTCAACAGTTTCCTAACAATGGAATATGTGAACAACTAACTAACAATGTAAGGTGTCAAGAGTTTCCTAACAATGTGATATGTGAACAACTAACTAACAATGTAAGGTGTCAACAGTCTCCTAACAATGGAATATGTGAACAACTAACTAACAATGTAAGGTGTCAAGAGTTTCCTAACAATGTGATATGTGAACAACTAACTAACAATGTAAGGTGTCAACAGTCTCCTAACAATGGAATATGTGAACAACTAACTAAC